TAAAGAATCTTTAGAATTCAACACATATCTTCCTTCTGCTCAAAATTTTTAAGTTTAAGTCCTATAACAAATAATTTTTTTTATAATAAAAAATAAATTATAATTAAAAAAAAAGTTTTAACAAACCAATAACATTATTTTGTCTGTTAACTGATGACTAAGGATAAAATGTATCATTCTTCTTAGTTATGAGAACGCCTATTGCTAAATAATTCAAAGAATTCTTCTTTTACTGTAACAGAAATCGCACAAAGTACTAAAAGCTACTATACTGCTTTGGACTTTTTACATTTTTACTTGGATATTGGTTGTACTATTTTCAATGACGCTTGAAGGAGAATTGTAATAGTCTACATTCTATTTTTAAAAAAATCCATTTTCACAAAAGCTCGAAACCTTAAATACTAAAATTTATTATATAGGATAATTTATTCATCATAAATGACTTAATAGGTCGAAAAATAAATTGAAAATATTTTGTTTGTTTCTTTTAGGTGCATGTTTTTTTTAATTTATTAATCATAAAGTAATTTTTATGTTCATTGCTTATACATTATAAGTGTGTCAATTATATTTTTTTAATGTCAACATGCGTATTAAAACTAACGTATAGAATGGAAAATGATTTAATTAAAAGTATGATTGGTCAATAACAACGTTTGGAGCAGAGTATGGCCGAGAAGTGACTAGCATAAAAATAACAACCACTTAGTCTACCGCCAGACATTACTACAAAATGTTAATAATTTCCCAAATATTGGTCCAAAGTTGTTATTGACTAGTAATTTTCTTAATAAGATCATGTATTAATTACACTAGTTAAGTAAAATTCTCAATATTATTTTTATATTTGACTAAGGGTTCATAATAAATAATGGTAACTTATGAATACTTTAAATCAAATGAGGCTGAACATTTTTAGTAAAATGTTACTTACGCTAATTAGCCTACAAACCTGCGTATTATCTAGTGATAAAAATTGTCAGCATTCGTATCTCACCTCCAGTCATTACTTTTTCATAACTTCTGAAATATTGATTCAAAAGCTGTTATCGACCATTAATTTTCTTAATAAGATTTTCATAAAATAAATAAACTAGTTAATAGGAATGAATGAACATAAAATTGACTTTTTATTGATAAATTGAAAAATATATGAAACAAAAATAAAATTATTAATCATAATGTTATTTTTCGATATTAAATCATATATTTACATATTAAATGTCGCTCATGATAAATGCATTACCCGTATAAGATTAATATGCAGCATATATTTTGTTGTCTAACCTTATAAAATATAAAATTTAATAACAAAAAGAGAAAAATATATTCATACTGTAAATGATAACTAAAAACAAGTGTGATATAATTGTTTTAAGAACAATTTATATAGATGACTTTTAAGATAATCAAATGAGGATAGTTACTTCCAAAGGTATAACTGGAATATGTTTTTGGAGGCTAAATATAAGAAAAATTCTTCTTTAAAAATAAAAATTTACTTTCGCTAAATAAATATTTTTTTTGAGAGAATAATCTCATATTCTATATTTATCCCACAAAATATTTGTTGTGTCTCTTACACATTTAAATACTCGGTTAAGGATTAAATAATTAGCCCCTATCTTGATAAATTTTTACTGTTATCTTTGGTTTGCTATGTATTAGTGAATTTTTGATTTTCTTATTAAATCACTTTATGCAAAAATTTGAATAAAAAATAACTAAACATTCAAAATTATGTTAATCAAATTGAATTTTAAGAATTAAAAATTTTATTGAATTTTTAAAGTGTTTTATAATATTCTTATCAAGTTTCGAGCTTTTTTCATAATAACACAGCTTGGTAAAATTTGGGACACGAAATGTTTATCATGTTTTTTTTGCTTCCGATAATATATATAAGTCCAGAATCATACAAACTTTAAATTTGGGCCTTATGTATTGATAATAGAGAAAAATTAAAGACATTTTCAAGATTAGCGTCAAAAAATCTGATATAATCCTAAGTACAAAAATGATCTTTTTAACTTTCCATAATCCAAACTTTGTTAAGCTGTGTAATTCTTCTTTTAATTAAAATTAGGAATTTTAAATTTAGACAATTTTTAGATACACGTGTTTACATTATCGATGCCCAGAGAGTATTTGGATGTTTAACAATTCGTGGCACAGTGATAACACAATCAAATTAAAGCAAGATGACTATGAACTAGATTTCAACTATGAAATTAAAACCGTCGAAAAAGATAGCTTCAAAAAGTTAAAAAAGAGTTTGGATAAAAGATTAAACGAATATCCTAGTAATTATGATACGGATATAGAACCAAAAGCATTAAGAAAAGAAAAAAAGAAAACATTTAAACAGTCCACAACAACATACATTTTTATTGGCTCGATATTCGGTAGATTTTATAAAATACTTTTTTTTTGGAATTAGGGGAATGATATGGCGTAGTGGACCACTCAGTCGCCGCCTTAGCACCGATGTTTAACTGTGCTGTTTGCTTGTTTGGTTATTTGCATTTAACTCTTAAAAGAAATATATTGAATTGAAAATTGTAGTTATTGTTGTTAAATGTTTTTATCAATTAGATACTTACAACTTTTTTGATAAATCGATTTGTTTATCTGAAAATACACGAAAATTTATTGTTTTTTTAAAATAGAAATTTTTACAGATTTTTTGTTATGTTTGACGAACTCATAAAGTTACAAACAGATATTTCACATTAAAAACATTTATAATTTAATTTTCTGAAAAAAATATAATAGGTGAAAATTTCATATGTTTAACTGTTTTAAGATATATTGACAGAAGTGAAAAGTTTTTTTCGATATTTTTTATAACACACCATGATTTCTATCTCGACAATCTAATAAATTAGTTAACACCTTAATAGACGGCAATTTAATACTAGTACTTCGACTACATTCATTCCTAACAAAAAAACCTTTATTTCCAATTTTCGATCTCGAACTTTATTTTTATCTCTAGACATTATTAGTGAAAGGATTATAAAAATAAATTTGGTATATGGAAAAAATGAAAAAAATTTTGTCGTTGGTCACATCAGTATAAGGTACTTAATTAAATCACGGTTTATTATAAAAAAAATTTGAAAAAACGTTCTTTACACTTCTGTCAATATATCTTACAAACAGTTAAACATATGAAATTTTCACCTATTATATTTTTTTAGAAAATTAAATTATAAATGTTTTTTACGTAAAAATTTGTTTGTAACTCTATGAATTCGTCAAACATAACAAAAAATCTGTAAAAATTTCTATTTTGAAAAAACAACAAATTTTCGTGTATTTTCAGATAAACAAATCGATTTATCAAAAAAGTTGTAAGTATCTAATTGATAAAAACATATACATCTATAATTTATATTCTATGTTTTTTTTTTTGCAAGTTTTATTTTATGAGTTAAATCCAAATAACCAGAAAAACGATCCTTTTTATTCAGTTTTCAACTACGAGCAGACAAAAGTTAAAATCATCTGATCGACTTGAACATTTTTTTTTGATCATTAAGAAAATGACTGATTGACAAAAACTTTTGGATAAATAATTTGAAAGTTATTAGTATTTCAAAATATAGAATGTAGTTGAATGCTACTTATTTATCATTAGTCATTTGTACTGCACCTCCTCCTGCTTAGGTACACAAATGTGAATATCCAAAGCACTGGTCCAAAATTTGTTATCGACCAGTTATTTTTTAGTAATACGTGTTGTCATTTAAAAATCTCTATAAGATAATATCTTATCCTTATATTATAAGTAATATACCTAAAAATAATTTTATATTAATCATATGGAGATATATATGTAACTAGCAAAATTAAAAAAACTAATTATTTTAAGAGAAATTATTTTAAGTGATAATGTTAAAAGAATCTTTTTGTATATATATATTTTCGTTTTTGCTATAATATTTTCCTTATTATTCATATCTGTGTGCAGTTTATTTTATTAGTGCTTGGATAATGCTATATAAATGCATGCGACAACTAGAATACGATCTCACAGAAAATAGAGACGTGATCTCACGAAAATGTGATGTATTTAATAAATGTCATGAATTCAATAAATCAAATAGACAATATTGAAAAATATTGAAAAATATATTGTTTCACTATCTGATAAAAAACATGGATTTGTCGTGTTAATTTTTATACATTTTCTTACAATTTTAATAAGTAATCTATATTTTTTTTGCGCACAATGGACCAACAGGTCGAGTGCATGGGCATTATGTCCACCGCGATAATAACCAATCTATATTTTTAATAATAAAAAATAAATTCCATTTTTTGCTACATGTTTAAAAATATTTGTCTCAGTCCTACCATTAGTAGATTAAAATCTCTGGTCTTATCTAAATCCAAAAACAATTTAAATTCTCGATCTCACACTTTTTTAATTAAAAAACTTTATTCAGCCTATCCTTCAGTAAATTAAAAAAATAAATTAAATCTGTGGTTCTCGGATAAAAGAGTTGAAGTACAAAAGTTGTGTTAATAAGGTTAAATACATCATAATATTTAAAAATAAATACTCTTTTTTGTGGTGTAAAGGACTATGAAATGATTAATTTTAAACTTATACCCTATTACTCGAACACCATAGAAATAATATTTGATTCGCAAAATATAAAGATTGGAATATAGTTTTATAGAGCTATGAAGAGATTAATTTAATTAACCTTTATAAATTAATTTAATTTATAATTGAAATTAGATTGAAAACTATATATTTTAATAATATCTAAAGAAATTAAAAACATAAAATTAATATGTTGTAAAATACTATTCAACTAATCACACTATCTTATAATAAAATTTCAACTTATTATTATTGAAGTATTTTTTATTAATTATTAAAACTTCCCTAAACACCCTTAAAATTGCGCCTATTTAATGTAATATTACATAAAATATGGTCATATTTTTTTTAAAAACACATTATATTACACAACAGAAAACATAGCATAAAAAACATTTAAGATATAGTGTCAACTGGCTAAAAATAGATTACTATGATGATAGGTTTGCTCATAAATAAACATTTGTTCCTATTTTGCTTTATTTTTAATTAGTATAATTTCATGATGTTGAAAAGAAATATAAAAAATGCAAAAGCAAAGTTAAAGAAAAAAAAAGGGGTTTCACAAAAGGCTAAATTAACGATAAAAAAAATTGATAACGTTTTGCCAGTTTCAACCCCTTTAGGCTCAGTGCATTTTGATGAATTTTTAAAAGGCTGTAAAGAACAAAACGTACCCGTAATACCCGATGAGCCACATAAAAGTAGCAAAACAAATATTAAGAAAAAGAATAAAAAAGGCAATAGAATAAACAAAGGCAAAGGTAAAAAAATATCTAAAAATAAAGTCAAAGAAAAAAAAAAAGGCAAAAAAAAAAAAAAATCTAGTATAAAGAAAGTAGTTGTGAAACCCGATGATGAGCCCATAATTGATCTGACTCAACCACCTTTATTCCCATTGAATAAAACTTTACTCGTTTCTGGGAGTTTCGATGAACCTGAAATTTATTACCCAGTAAGTTGCTCCTATTAAAATACGTTCTTGTTATTATGAATGTAAAATAAATTATTACACCAGGACTTTGTGGTGGGAAAAATTGAACCTCCAACACTTAACAGACAATCATCGATCAAAGAGATAAATAATATAGAAAAACAAGCAAATAATGTTGTGGAAGAAATAAACAAAACACAAGAAAAAATAAAGATTTTAAAGGAAGTAAGTTTTATTAATTGCATAACGGAAAAATATTTATTTAAAATAGTATATATTATTTTAGAAACCAAAATTAAGTAATTTAGAGACGGCTGAGTTGGAAAATCAGCAGACTTTATTACTATCGTTATTAAGTGATTTTGAACATCATTTAGAACGGATTCGTGAAATTTTTAATGAAGATCGAATGGATACTATTATTGAGGATGACGAGGAACAATGGGTGGACGACGAAGAAAATGTATGTGAAGAAAAACCTGACAATACACAAATATGTTCATTTTTGAATGACTTACAAAATAATTGTGAACCACCAACTCAAGTTAGTTTCAACTTATATGGAACCTTCTAAAGAATCAAATGAAAAACTAACTGCCATAATTTGTGATTAAATTTTAAACGACTTTTAGGATGTAAGTAAATGGTACAACATGATGGATCTCACCTATCTTTTAACACCTTCAACATCATCCAGTAAGGACCTCAATATTCCTATGTCTAATAGTTTAGAAAAGATATTTAACGAACTTAAGGGAAAAAATGCGAATGAAGCTCAAGATGATGAACGTAATAATATTTTTAAACGCTTAAGAAAAAAATTTTCAATACTGATTCCACCACCAATTTTAAATGTAAGTTAAGCTTTATGGGTAAATAATAACAAAATTATTTTGTAAAAAAAAACTAGTGAATATGAAATATTTTTATATCAAATTAAAATTAATATTCTATCATGATTAGACTAAACCATGGGCACCCCTTTGGATAGCAAGGGAGGACATGGAAACTGAGCTATCTCCCAGAATGTGGTACTAAAAAAAAATCTGTATACAATTATTATAAATCACTTAATTTGTCGAATAATAAAAATATGATTAATAATAACTATTATTTTATTAAACTATTTAATAGTTATTATTAGTTATTTTATTCGTTTCTTCTAGTTCAATATTTCAATCGTAAAAAAATTGTTCATTCCTTATGTATTATAAGGGTTTTAGCTTTAATTTCTCAAATGAAAACACACATAAATAATTAGCTTATTTAATAGATAATGATCTAATTAAGATAAGAAAACTTTTAGGCTAGTATTTCGGAAGTTCTTAACAATTTAAAGTAATAACTAGAAGTGAAGAGTACTGCTGCTTTTGTAACTAAACATTTCCCGGCCTTACTCTTCCTTTCATCTACATATAAATACGTCAATTACTTCCAAAAGTTGTTATCAACCAATCATTTTCTTAATCATTATCTATTAAATAAGCTAATTATTTATGTGTGTTATTATTTGAGTAATTTAAGTTAAATTTTTTCCGGAATTATTACAAAAAAAAAAATGTTTGACGAGTAAAAAAAAGTCTTCCTTAGATTTTATCAGATAGGCGGTGTTGTTGATTGGTATAACACAAATTACAATCAGAACTTTTATAAGAGATGGAGGCTAGGCTAGAGCTAACGATCTTTTTTTAATATTTTAAATAAATAAAATATTTATAATTATAATTGTAATTTTGTCAGGCTGAAAAAGGTGACGCTGTCTGGATGGATAAAAAGCTTCGCAAAGACCATAAAGAAATGATAGATGGCACGGATAAGTTAAAGTTGTTCCAATGCTGGCAAGAATTTGAAGACAAGTACAAAATAATTAATGCATTGGTCGTGTCTGTAAAGGATGTCATAAAATCAACAAAACCTGTTAGATTCTTAATATTTCAAAAATTACGCAGTGATACGATCACATATAGAGTGCTCATAACTCTATTTTTATAACTAACAAAAACAGCCAACTCGACTTTAGAGCATTGACACAGAAACGCATAAAATACTAACAAAACAGCACATATAAACACTTTAGATATTCGCGATCAGTCCAATACAATAATACGACCTAGACGGCAGTAAGTTCTGCTATCCTCATGATCATAGCGTCACATGCATAATTATATAACGTACCATTATCTCGAATTAATTTAATCTAATTACTTGATTTACGACGTATGTGCATGTTAAAGTCGAGTTGGGTGTTGTTTAACTTGTTGTAATTTGGATTAACTTCATCTCTACATGTCCAGCAAGTTGTAATATCATCATTATTATTATTTATTGCTTATTTTAAATAAATAACATTATCCTTTTTTAATTGAGAATGTCAAATTATTGTATCGTGACCCTTGGTAATTCTTCTATGGAAATATAAATTAAATTGGAAACCTCAGTACCTAAGGTAGAAATTGCCTAACCAATTATCTCTCGTAGGACCCTTAGACTATTGTTGACGAGCACTTAGGTATAGCCACCTAAGGAGAAATGGGTAGGGATGACGATATCTCTGGTATTGTCTTAAACGCTCAGTAAGGAATTCCTTTTCGTGTACTGAAAATTTTATATACTGCTCTCTTATCGTGAACGATTTTTCAGAGTTAATTGATAGTTTACTCAATTTGTATTTTAAATGTGTTTTACGTAACAATTGTAATATTTATATTATCATATAATTAATAAAATATTAGCTAATCTAGAATATCATAAGACCATCTATAACTACTACTTAAAGCGTATATATAATAACCAGACAATTAGGATTACAGAATCAGAGTGGAATTAAGTAGGTTTCTATAACAATATTCTTGAATTTTTGTTCAAAACAAGTAATTCGGACTTTTAAATGAAAGGGACATCTTACTACTTATAAAGCTTTTGAAATCTGGAATATTTAACAACCAGTTTTTTATTTAACCAAATTTTAATTTTTGAAAGATAGATTTTTAAAGATATTAAATAATGTTATTTTTATCACTGTACTAAAGTAGAATTATTAAATATTTTGTCATTTGTATACGAAGAACAGCCACTCAATAACTATAATAAAGACTTAATAGGTGCCTTAAGTATATTATTCAATCAGTCTTTATCAGATAAATACGATCCAGCGGCCTCAGCTCCAAAAACCCAAAAATAAATAAAACTCCGATTTGAACACCTCTAATAGTCTCGATAAAACAGTAGTTGAAATCCCTAGAACCGAATACTCCAATAATTTGAGGACTCTAATAACAAATTAATTATCGAACCATCGAAAATCTGAGTGATTATTATTCTCATCATTAATAATCCTAAAAATTGTTGCTTCTATGTATTGAATACTTTTCTAACTCATAATGCTTAATATATTATTTTAGAATAACTGCTGTATCACGTCATGCTTCACAGTTTGGGTGTAAAGTATTGTAAATGTTATAATTTTTTTTTGTTCTCATAAATGTCCATGGGGTAAAATGTAATTTTGAAATAAGGGCTATTTAATATTCTCATTACTTAAGAACTCCTCAAGTTCTCGTTTTCGTTATCTATAATATTATTTTCATTTTTATTATTATTGTGTACGCTACTAATATTCTGATTAACTTGTTAAATTCTCAACTGTTCAATGCTCGCTTGGAGTTCTACAATAATTTTTTCTAATGATTCCTTTTAGTTTTGTAATTGAGCTAGAGTACTTTGATTGATTAAAATTTAGTTAGTCTGGGTAATTATATTATCAAAGAAGTTTATTGTTGTCGATAAACGACGGCACGATCCGTGGTACGTAACTTGATCTAGATAACTATGTTGATACACTTAACACTGTAGCAAACTAAATTTTTGTTATGCTTTATACTTGTTAAATGATACTCTAAAATTTGATATTTTACAGCGAAATATACGTTTTGCTCGTTCAATAAATATAACGCAACCACTTCTATACATGAAAAACTGTTATAGGTAAAATTAATTTTCCTCGCTTTTATTTTAGTTTTATTATGCAAGCAAAGACGTCAAAGAAAAATTTATTTCTGACCAGAGTAAACTTTTGCAATCCCTCGATGAATTTAAACACTCTGTTAAAAACACATTTTTGCCAGCGGGACTGGAAGACTATTGGAAGATATATCCAGAATCATTAAGACTTGGGATGAGATCTTGTTTTGACATTACAATTCAGTCAAAAGAACGTATAATTGAAAAAGTGACTCCTTTAGAAAAAATGTGTTTCATAGAACAAAATAAATTCATACCAAAAGGTGTCAATTGCGATTGTAAGTTAAACTTTAGTTAAGTTGGTTCATTTAATAGATTATATCATTTCAACTGAAATCTGTGTCTAGGCAATATCAAAAAAGAAAATTCAAATGACAGTGAAATCGTTGTAGTTACCCACAATTATTGATGCTGAAATAAAAAATTCGAACAGTAAAAATCAATAGTTTCATTTTAAAAATGTAAAATATAAATTTTTAATTATTAATACATGATTTGTTGCATAGAGTCAGTTTAAGTAAGACTAATTGATGTAACCCTCCTTTTTTTCAAGATTTAATTAAGATTGAAATAAATAAAATGAACACATTAAACTGTCATAATACACTCGACACTATCACAATATGATATAACAGAGGACTGCTCTGTTTGTGTCCACAATGATGGTCGTTCATTTAAAAATTATTAACACTTTTATTTATAAATTATATTCATAAGCTTAGAATAACATGTTTGTTTTTTCTTTGAGAAAATTCACAAATTATACTTATCAGCTCTTTTTAACTAACTATAATAATATTATATGAAGTGTCGAAATGATTTGTGTATTATTCGCATGTATTTATGTATTTAATGTATTAATTCATATATTTTATGATGACTTGTCAATAAAATAGCAACATTGCGAGAATGACACAATGATGATTGTGCGGGGATAAAAAAAAATACTATAAAAGGGCTGAGTGCTGAAGGCTTGAAGAGAGTCTGTCTCTAAATATTCATTGAGCTGGTCGAATCGTGCTTTCGACATCGATACGCCAAGTTCGTAATCATCATTGTGAAATTCTTCTTCTTTTCTACTCATCTTTTTTAGTAATTTTTGCATTATTACAAAACCTTTAACCAAACATCGAAATAGATATATAACTAGCTTTTGTCTATATGTACAGGTCGAATTTTTTTATTAAGAATGATATAAAAATTTGTATTTTAGTGCTTCCTGAAAACTTATTATCGAGGATTATATCATTTATATTATTAATAAAAAGGCAGAAATAACAGAAAAAACGGTTTGGGGGCTGTATTTTACCCTCTAGACAAATGTTAAAAGAAAATATGAGTAGGGGGTCTATGATAATGAATATGAATCCATAAGTGTTAACGGAAACATGTAAATAAAAACAGATCGAGTTAATATGATTTCGGTTCACTAAATGATCTTTTATTTACATATAGCATTTTGCACACATAAAGGTAAAACAATGAATGGTGATTTATTGCAATTATAAAGAATTAACTGTCTACAGACAGACTAGCATCAGAACGGCCTTTGTATTTTGTGAGTTGTATAACTACAAATGGTCGATGTAATTTAAACAAAATGCTCATACAGAGTGTATTTAAGAAATCATTTCAGAACAAATTCACATATCAATTATTAACTGGATTAATCATTTAAATAAAATAAACCTGTGACCTTATACTCATGATAATTCTATTACGTTAAAAGGTATACAAATAGTATTTACCATAAAAAAATTGTATTGATCCATATATGTTTCAAAAAGTTATAGCATTATAAAATTAATAATATTAAAAATTTTTTTTTTACACTCATAAAAACTCGTATTTTTTTTATTAGCTTTAATGTCTGTTTTCACTGTGAAGGCAAAATAAAGCCCGACACTTTTTTTTTTATAATGAAGTGTATTACATTAGCTTTAATTTAAAATATATATAAAATTGTCAGTTTCCGAAACACTTTCAAAAGTTAATTTTTTGTGAAAGTTTTTTTTTTAAATCCCCTCCTATAGGCAGATAAAGAGTCAGATTAAATATATATTTAGCTATTGATAATAGTTATATCTCATAACGGTAATTATTTTTAAATTACTTTTTATTATGAAGAAATAAGTTTTTTTTTTGTTATTAGATTATCTATATACAGAGTATTCAGTAAGTGAATCAATTATTACAAACGATAAGAACAATAGAAATCTGTTTCATCACTTACTGAACACTCAGTATAATGATTAGGTTTTTTATTGAATTTTTACAAAAAATATATCATAAAAAATTATTTATTTCTAGTATACCCTATTAAAAGTAAGATCAGTGTTTTATAAATAAAGTGCTAGTAGTTTTAAAATGCAGATAATAGTTTTTTGAAAATGGCGTCTTTTATGATAGTATAATTTTGAGGTATATTTTTAATTTCTAAAATTAAAGGGATTTTCCAATTTTTGCAACAATAAATTCAATTAGATTATGATTGTGTTCTTTTGTAGTAATTACATTGAAATCGATCCAATGAGAACCGAGAATTTTTTACGGAATGAAATAAATAAGACACACACCATCATCTCAAAGCTAATACTTTCTCAGCTTCGTATCGAAACTAAACCATTATTTTGTTTTCACATTTGAAAAACAGGATTAAAAGTAATCTGTGAGTTTCAATTTCATTTTTTCAAGTTGCAAATTTACAATAATTTTTTTTAATACAAACCCACAGAATTTTTGGATCTGCTTATTTTTTTTAAAACCTTATTAAATATTTTTTAACTCTAATTACTAATTATAAAATAATAAATAAATAATATATTTTGATCTTTATACAAAATGTAAAAATCAGTATCATAATGACATAATTACATAATTACAGTGAAACTTTGTTTTTTAAGTACACACTTAATTTGTTAGTATAGAAATACTTAAACATTATTGGTATTTATAATGTTACAATATGTAATAGATGATAATTATTTAAATATTAGAATGTATTAATACAAAATAAGGAATAATTTTAAATAAAAATTAAAAAACAATAACGTCAAAGTATAATTATCTAATTTACAATTGAATTTAACATAATATGTAATAGTTTTGAAAGAGCTTCCAAGTTGAATTAATATTTAAGTCTGCATTAATGGTTGTTGCAGTTAAAATATTATGTATTATAAATATTTCTAAGAACCCTATTATGTCAAGTCAGATTATGATAAAAAATTGGTAACATTGAAATATTTACCAAAATTATATAATAAAATTATAAATGTTAATAACTTATAATGTTACTTAAAGTAACAAAAATGTTACAAAATAATAGCGATTATAATAAAATAATTGATAAATAACAAAGTAAAAATGGTACATGATTTTAAATAAAATCTAATAAAATTAAAATTGGCTGTACAACTCTATTCATAAATTATAATAATAATAATAAAACTGGCAATAATATGTTTGAAAAATGTCATTAAAATAAATATATATATATATTTTCATACTTATACAAAAAATATTAAATCATAAGTCAGATTTTACTCCCATACATGGAACATAGTCTATAGCCATAAGGCATGCAAAAAGAGTCATCACCATTTTTGGCTTTACTTCTGTTATATCTTCAGGTAATGCATATACTCTAGCACCAGTTTTCCTGGCCATTGAAATGGCATATTTAGCATTTGCTAATTTATCCTTAAAATAAATAACATACTATTATATGTTAATGTTAATTAAAAAAAAATAATAATTAACACATTGTAGTAAAATCAATATTTTCATGGAATATGTGAAAACTAATATAGCATAATATTGAGTAATAATATTAAAAATGTAAAGGTAATACATTAATTTTTAAAGGTTTTTCAGAAAAAAAAAATCACCTCAAGTTCGCTGCCATCTTTAACATTATCATAATTAATAGTGCCTGGTTTAATAGCATCAATTAAATCAATAACAATTCTACCATCTGATAGAGTTTGATCTTGGAATCCTTTTAAAGCTGTTTCTTTGTTAGCACTTTGTAATTTATTGTTTACCCAGGTAACAATCTCTTTTTCAACAATTGGACTTCCCGTATTAGCTAATTGTGTAAGAACTGAGAGTGTATAAGCTCTCATCAGTTGCCAAATTAAAGCTGTAATTTAATGTGTTAATAAAACTAAAATATTATTTCTATAACTAGTTATTATGTAAATTAAGTTTTTAAAATAGTAAATATATTTTATATCATAGAAATAATTTTTAAGTAATAATGAGCAAATAAAAAACTATTTTTTTGGAGAACTAAAAATAATTTATCACTAGTTTTAAAAGTAAATGAAACTTTTTTATGCCCAAATTAGTTAGAGCTTAAGCAAAACTAAATCTTATTTTAAAGTGTAAACTGAATAGTTCTGATTGAGTTTGTGTAATTGTTTTTTTAATCAATGGTAAACTGGTTAAAAACCTAATAGCTATTTAATTTATATTAATAAGTTAAAAAACCCCTTTCTAAAGAAATATTGGTAAAAAATTCTAATAAAATTTCTAAATTTGTGATTGTTAGATAAATATCTTACTTTTTTCTTCAACTTAAATACCCATTTATATATAAAACATAAGTCTAGAGGTTAATTTTTTTTAATAATATTTATAATGATATAAATTAAATATATTACATGATACTTAATTTAAAGTATATTTAAAGATGTAAGGAATATTCTCAAAAGTTAACTTTTCATAAAAAAAAGTTCTTATTTTTGAATTTTTATTGTGAGCAGGTAAACAATCATATTTTCAAAAAATACTAAATGAAAGAAATGTATCTTTATAACAAAAATTTGTTTTGATTTTATTCAATTCTCAAAAAGTATGGTAGTTTTAGATAAAAAGTTTAGAAATTATTAAAACTTGTCAATTTTAGTAATCGTATTTTATGTGAGGATTACCATGATGGTAATCCTCACATAAAATACGATTTCCCTGTAAATGATTTACAGGGAAGAAAGATTTTTTTAAAAATTTTGAAAGTAATTTTATTACTTAGATACAACTTTTGAATTTTAAACATATCATTAAAAATTGGTCCAGTAGAAGCTAAGAACTTATGATAACAGACACAATAAAATTTATCATAATAAAATCGAAATTAAATTTAATAATCTGTAGCATAATATAGCTAATTTTAATAAAAACTTTTTAATTAAATTGTAACTAAATTTTGATATACAATCAAAATTTATACTTTTAAATACTCACCAAGGGTAAGAGTAGCATTTCCATCATTTAAATCTTGCCCTGCAATTCCTACAAGAGAAAACTTTAATTGACGACCTAATTCAACAGCATAGTTACAATTCTCTAATTTTTCCATAAACATCCTGAGCTTGGTGAATTTTCTAAAAAAGATATATTAGTTATCTAAGGTCATAATGTGTATAAAATATATTACCTATGGACTTTAGACCAATTAACAATCCCTGGTTTGATAATGTCATATAATTGGAATATAACAAGACCATCTGCTAAATCTGAGTAAAGCCAGTTAACATGTGGTGCCACACCCATTGAGTTCATCCAATTTCTGTATGCTACACACAATATAATAAAATTTGAGTTTAGTAAAATATTAATAACCTTAAAATTGTTTAAATATACTTTTTTCTTCTCTTGTTTCTTCAATATTTTCCAAACCTTCAATTTCTCCCTCAGGTTTATCTAATCCAGGATGGTTGTTAAATAAATTTGCCACAAAGGCCAAATTTAACTTGTATACACCATTAACTACATCAGAAGGAGTAACAAAACTTCGACATCCTAATTTTGCGGCTTGTTGTAACATTATTTCAGCTCGTCTGTTAATATCAGGTTCCTAAAAAGTTACAAAAATATATAGTAGTATAATCTTCTTGATATAATTAATAAATACAAAAAATAAATATTATTACCATTAATGCTGACATATCAACGTCAGAATCTTGAGGAGCAATTTGTTTCATCAGGTAAGTATAAATTTCTGAATCAGTAATATCACTTTGAAAGTTATGACACTGTCTACAAAATAAAATGAAAATTTAATAGTAAAAAACAAGTTTAAAATAATCAAACATTATAAAAAAATTAAATTATACTATTAATTTATCATTTGATTCCATATAAAACAAATTTAGGCAAAATAAATTTAAAAATAAAATAATATTAAAATGTTTTTTTGTGGTAAATCCCCAGATAATAAAACTTACCTAGAAACACCAGCACGATTTAAGTGATAATTCACCCATCTTAGCAGTATAGCTTCAGGGGACAATTTAATGAGTTCTTCAATTTTCTCACCATCTTGTAACAGTGTAGCAAGACCAGGACAGTTTTCAAGAGTTATTTGATTAAACAGCCCAATCTATACATATATCTTTATTATTATACAGTCGTCACTATTAAATACATAAATAACAAATTCATTTACTCGAATAATTTGCCACAAAAGTCCTAGAACTAAATGAGGTTTTCCTTTAGCAAGATCATGAGCATCTATATTAACAATATTGCATCCAATAGCTTGACTTGATACTAAAGCTAAAGTTAAATTTTCTAATTTTTTGTATACTGTTAAATTGCTTTTTGTAGTTTCTTTATTGATTGCTCGTTCATCAATTGTATCAGGACATGAGTGATTAATAATTTTACTAAAAATACAATCTATTAGCAGTAATAATCACAATAATAATCAATTAAGTAAATCTATTAGTACATAAAACCAGTGTTAGCCTTAGACTTTTTAGTGCATTGTGCAAATATTATTTTGGTGCCTTTAAAAAATTTTATGAATGCATCAATCATATTAAATTGACCACTGGATAGAAAATAAATATGCATGTTGATTTTTTTTAATTTTATTTATCCTAGGTACATTGCATTTTGTTATAAAAAAGAACTATTTTAAATAACTGAATTTTTTTTTTTTATGGTAGATTTAGTATGCTATATTCTTTTACAACGGCCAAGCGTATTATGGCATTTTTTTGAATCACTGTATAAATTATAAAATGTCTTGTTCAAAAAATAATCCATGCTTTCAACTTCAGATCCCCAATTCACTAATAGTCAATTCACTTCCACACTATCAAATAAATTCATTCAAATAAACAAAACTATTAAAATCAAAGTTTATTTTATGATCACAAATTAAGTACTAAGAGTTTTCACAAAATTTAATAAAAAAATTCCACCCCTATAAAAAATTATGGCATACTGCAACTTGTTTTACATGTTAAGTTTCGTTTCAAATTTGAAACTTTAATACACATGAAAATAGTTTTTATAAATATAATAAACTTACCAAAGTAAAATTCCATCTTTTACTTTATCATACAAGTTTTTGCCTTCACTTTCAATAGGTAGTAGATGTTTTAAATCAGTATCATGTCTTAGATTGCTATTGATCCAATCTGAAAACGCTAGTTGTTCTTCCAGTCTTACTGAATGTGTAGTTCCTTCACTTGAAGCATCAGACATACCTCCTAAAGTTTCTAAATTTTCTTTTTTGGAAACAACTTGTTTAAAAGAACTTGCTACTTCGCCTGCTTTTAAATCAGTACAGAGCTAAAAAAATAATTCAATAATGAGGGATAGATCATTTTCTTAAAATATCATACAAACCTTTTTAAATTCTGAAAATAATAATTTTCCTTTAGTTTGGGTCTTTTTATTGCCATAGTCTTCAATCATTTTTCGAACTTTCCAGGCAGGTAATTTGAAACCACAAAGTTCCAACGCTTCTTGCAATTCAGATAAATCGATTGATCCATCATTATTTTTATCAAACTATAAATAGTATATAATAATTAATAAATAAATGCTTATGCTGCTTGTAAATAATTGATTTTCTAAAAAAAAAACAAAATTTTTTTAGTTTTTTTCAAATTTTAAAAAAGCCATTTTTTAGTTTTTTTTTGCAAAAAATGTTGACAATTCAATAATAATTTTATGAGAAATACTCATTGAGTATCTATTTAATTTAATACACAAAGTGGGTAAGTAGTGAGGATAGATACATCTTATATTGACATATATTTAAAAATCATATCTTATCTGTACTTTATACCTTGTACTTAAAACTTGTAACTTAAAAGCATATAAAATAATTTTAGCAATTATATAAATTAAATTAGCATTTAAAAAAATAATTAAATTTCTTCTATGAATCTACTTAGTGACGGTAATATTAGGATATTTCCTTTATTAATAATTAAAATGGTACCCCATTAAATAACATGAAGTAACAGTTTTTGAAAATAAATATATGAATACATAAAAAATGGATTATAAAAGTATGAAATAAATATATTCATTTAAAAATAAATAAGCAAGTCATTATAACATAATATAATCATGAGGGTAGTTTTTGAAATAAACTTTTTTAACTATTTAGTTTTTTTAATAACTGAGTTTACCAGTAGAAGAGCAAAATACTATAATATGAATAAATACTACAAAATACTATGAAATGTTAACAGGAATTGACTTCTACATTAGAATTAGAGATTTTTTTTTTAAACGATATCAAGTTATCAATTGTTCGTTATCACAATAATATATTTTTTAATGCAACATTTCTTCTAATCAAATTCGTATAAAATATATGTAAATTCGATTTCCCGTATAATTTGATAAACACTTTGACGCCACTTTATTGAAAACTACATTCATTATTAATAAAACAAATAACATTATAACATTAATTTAAAATTACATATATATAGAATTATTTGATATTTTAACAATATTGACTTTCTTTAAATATTCTATCGCACTCAAGTTTACTTTAAACGTATGTAATAAGTAAACAAGTCCATGACAAGGTCCAACCAATATTTTATAATGACCGTCAGCAATCACAACTTGCTTTTTTTCGCAGGCAGGCAATATAATTTGTCATAGACATAATAGTCGAAACGAATATGCAGTACACCTACTTACGACGGTTACTTAGTATTATAAACATATAAAGAAATAAATGGGATGGAATAAATCAAGATCACGATTTACGTCGTATTGTTTATCTAAAATAAGGAGGTAATACAAACGATGACGTTACCTTGGAAAACTGTTCCTTGAGTTCTTCGTCTGCTGTAAGATTCGCGTTGCCGTTTAAAGCATTTATATAATTTGAAACTTTAGACATTTTTGATCATGTGATTATTTTTGACTCTATTAGATGAAGCGCTAGCTTAATTTTGAGTAACGACGTCAATGGTAACTTTGGATAAATAAATTTGGCACTTTTGATTTCGTTGTACTTAATGTTAAGTATGTTTTCGTTGTTGAAAACTATGAATAAATTAACTCGACGGTGATTATTATACGGTTATAAAAAAATTAATAAAAAAACGTTAACAGAAAATCACAACAACACTGACTGAACACTAACTCTTGAGTGAATAACGATATTATGTTAGTATTGGAGAAAGGTGCGCCTCGCACACGCTACGCAGCAATGTGGCGAGCTGTGAGAATGTGATCCGTGTTGTATTCGGCAGTGCCTCTTGCCACCAACGTGTACAACTCACACGCGGAGCGAGGCGGGGGGTAAGTCGGTGTGGGCTTATGACTCACACGACGGTAGTTCACTGGCTGATTCACGGTAAACCCTTTTTATCGGTTACACGTCAAGTCCAGTACCAGACTAGCACGATAAAAATTGCCGCCGTCTTACTCATATTGAAACCTTACGGAACTTGTCGTACATGGTCGACAGACAATA